AGCAGCAGCAGATGCAGCAGCAGCAGATGCAGCAGCAGCAGATGCAGCAGATGCGCTCAATAATGACAACTACTACGTTAACACTGCATACAGCATTTCCACAGCTAGCAGCAGCAGCAGCAGCAGCAGCAGCAGATGCAGATGCAGCGGTAGGAGCAGCAGCAGTAGTAGAAGTAGCAGATGTAGCAGCAGCAACAATAGCAGCAGCAGCAGAAGGTGTTGCTGCTGAACGGGTGCTGCTGCAGCAGATGATGTGGGGCCCCACACGCGACACATGTGGCGTTGCTGCTGCAGCAGCGGGAGGTGGCTATACACCTGAGTGCTTATGTCTCTTCATTTTGCTGTCTGCATGCTTGCTGCTGCAGGAAAACGAAGATTTGCTGCTAGCGGAGCAGCAGCAGGAGCAGCTTTGGCAGCAGCAGCAAGAGGAGGAGCTGCAGCAGCAGCAGGAGCTGCTAGAAAGTGTTGGTGCTGCTTCAGCAGCAGCTGCTGCTAAGGGCATGGCTGCTGCTGCAGAGCGAGACAAACTCAGACGCAAACACAAACAAGACGGAGAGGTACGCCCAAACACTGCAGCAGCAGTTGCTGCAGCAACTGAATCAACAGCAGCAGCATCAGCAGCTGCAGCGCCAACTGCTACAGCAGCAGCAGAACCAGCTGCAGCAGCAGAACCAGCTCCAGCAGCAGTTGCTGCTGCTGTTGCTTCTCTTTTGTAGTTGTTGTCTGTGCTTGCGTTGTTGCGGTGAACAACAAGAAAAGAGAGCAACCGCTGTTGTCTCTGTCTGTCTCTTAATGCAGGACAGCAGCAGCAGCAGCAGCAGCAGCAAGAAGTTTCAGGTGTACGTGGACCTGCCTACCGACGCGGAGATCGGCCGTTTGCTGCTGGAGCGGAAGAAGCAAATTATTGTTCAGAAATATGCGTCTGCTGAGTCACAGAGAGAGGAACAGGTTTGTCTCCTTTACTGTCTCCTTTACTGTCTCCTTCTGTCTCCTTTACTGTCTCCTTTACTGTCTCCTTTACTGTCTCCTTCACTGTCTCCTTTGCTGTCTCCTTTGCTGTCTCCTTTACTGTCTTCTTTTATCTTCTTTACTGTCTCCTTTCGTCTCCTTACTGTCTCCATTGCTGTCTCCTTTGCTGTCTCCTTTACTGTCTCCTTTTGTCTTTGCTGTTCTCCACCTGTCTGGTGAGCAGACAGAGACAGCAGACAGAGATAAAGAGAGACAAAGAGAGACAAAGAGAGAGAGAGACAGAAGAAGAGACGCTTTAAGTTGATGTTTGTCTCCTTTATTTTTCTTCTGTCTCTCTTTTGGCTGCAGGAGACGCGGAGACTGGTGGCCCCAAGCGAGTGAAGATGCAGCAGCTGTCTCTTCTTCTTCTTCTTGTTGTTCTTGTTTCTTTTTGTTTGTCTCTTCTGTCTCCTTTTCTTCATTGAGGTGTGCAGCTCGTTACTAACTAACTCCTACTACACCTTCCGGTGTATGTACACCCCAGCACTGCCCCTATACTTGCGCCAGCGCGCTGCAGCTGCAGAAGCAGCAGCAGCAGCAGCAGCAACAGCAGCAGCAGCAACAATCACAGCAACAGCAACAGCTAGCTAGCCAGCTAGCTAGTTGCCTATTTGGTTAATTTGCTCCTAATCTCCCTAGCTAGCCAGCTACCTAGCTAGATAGATGGCTAGCTAGCTAGCTAGCCAGCTAGCTATGGAGCAGCTAGCTAACTATCGAGCAGCTAGCCAGCTAGCTAGCTAGGTAGCTGCGTACTTAACTAGCTAGCTAGCTGGCTAGCTAGCAGAGGTCGTAGCAACAGATGGAAGGCACTGCTTGAAGGAGGCGTTTAATCTTTGATTAAGAGAAAGAAGAAAGGAGACAGACAGACAGCAGAGAAGTTGTTGCTGCTGCGCAGCAGCAGCACAGTAAAAAGGAGACAGCTGTCTGTCTCTCTCCTTAGGAAGGAGACAGTCTGTCTCCTCTCTAAGGAGAGAGACAGACTGTCTCCTGTGTCTCCTTTAGAAAGGCTGCAGCTTAGTTCTTCTTATTGATTTAGAGTGTAGGCATGACAGGGATACAGCACAGACAAAAGAAAGAAAAATAAAATAAAACAGCAGAGAGACAGAGAGAGAGAGACAAGAGGATGTGCATGTGCTTAAATACAGAGACAGGCCCCACTGAGTGCTGAGGGTGTTTAGGGTAAGGAGACAGACAAAAAACAAAAAAATAAAGAAAGAAGAAATAAATAATAAAGACAGGAGACAGAAAGGAGACAGAAGGGGTTAAAAGGAGACAAATAGAAGGGAGAGGGAGACAGAGACTGAGAGAGACAAACATAAAAGAGACAAAAAGAGACAAACGGAGACAAATAGAAGAGAGCAGACAGATGAAATACAAAGGAGACAAAAAGAGATAGGTAAGAGAAAGAAGGAGACAGAGAGGAGACAGATAAGAGACAGAGGCAGACGAAGTAAGACATATACATATATATATATATATATATATATGCATGTATGTATATATATACATGTACATATATATAAACAAAACAGAGACAGAAAGAAACAAAGGAAGAAAGATAAAAGACAGAGATAGACATATAGCAGTCAGACATCATATAGAAAGAGACAAGTGAAGATACTAAGGAGACAGAGAACAGAGACAAACAAAAGGAGACAGAAAAGAGACAGACAACACCCGCGCATGCAGAGGCTTACAAGGAGACAGATAGTAATACAAACAGGGAGACAGAGGAGGCAAGAAGAAGCTGCTTCTCTTTATATTGCTGCAGTTGCTGCATACTGGTTTGGAGGCAAACAAAGACAGAAAAACTAAGAGAGAGGGAGACAAGAGACACGAGAAGCAGCAGCAGCAGCAGCTTTTGATAGCAGCAGCAGCAGCAGCAGCAGCTTATACTAGCAGACGAAGGAGTGCGGGCTGCATACAGCAGCAAACAAAGCACTGACAAAGGGATCGGGGCCCTGGGGGGCCCCGTCTATAACTTTTTATAATAAATTATATCTGCATATACACCGCAGCGAGATACTCTCATGATATGCACTGTTATATTAAAAGAAAATAATAAAATAAGCATAACTGCAAAAATTATAATAAATTATATTATTATTATTATTATTATTATTATTATTATTATTATTATTATTATT